AGAACTAGACATAAGACCTGAAACCATAAAATACATAGAAGGAAATATAGGTGAAACACTACGGATTTGCACATCAAAGACATCTTTACAGACACATCACCCAAAGCAGTGATAGTGAAGGCAAAGATAAACAGCTGGGACTACATCAAATTAAAGAGCTTCTGCACAGCAAAAGAGACAATAACAAAAACAAAGAGAAACCCCACCAACTGGGAGAACATTTTTGCATACAACACTAATGATAAAGGACTGATCACAAAAATCTGCAAAGAGCTGATGAGACTCAGCAACAACAAAGAAAATAATCCAGTCAAAAAATGGGCAGAAGAGCTAAAAAGAAACTTCTCTGAAGAGGAAATGCAAATGGCCAACAGACATATGAAAAAATGTTCAACATCACTTGCAATCAGGGAAATGCAAATCAAAACTACCATGAGATACCATCTCACACCAGTGAGAATGGCACATATTAAAAAAACTAGCAACAACAAATGTTGGCGAGGATGTGGAGAAAAAGGAACTCTCCTGCACTGTTGGTGGGAGTGCAAACTGGTCCAACCACTGTGGAGAGCTGTGTGGAGATTTCTGGACCTACTAAACATAGAGCTTCCATATGATCCAGCAATTCCACTCCTAGGTATTTACCCAAAGGACACAGAAACATCAATTCAAAGAGCACCTGCACCCCTATGTTTATAGCAGCACTGTTTACAATAGCTAAGCTTTGGAAACAACCCAAATGCCCAAAAGTAGATGACTGGATCAAGAAGATGTGGTACATATATACCATGGAATATTACTCAGCATTCAAAAAAGATAAACACATGCAATTTGCAGCAACATGGATGGCGCTGGAAGGGATCATGCTAAGCGAAATAAGCCAAAAAGAAAAGAAAAATACCGGATGGTCTCACTCATAGCAGGAATCTAGAAAACTTAAATAAGGGACCAGGAAAATGAATATAAGAAAGTGAAAATCAAAATCAACAAAAACTATGAACCAGAGACACTTTTTGAGGGGAGGGGGCGGGAGGGGAAGGATTGGGGTCAGAATGGGGCGTTTGCAATTGTATGGGGGAATATAAAAATAAAATTTAAGATTAAAAAAAAAAAAAACTTATGGGACACAGCAAAAGCAGTACTAGGAGGGAAATATACAGCAGTATAGTCTCACACCAAGAAATAAGAAATAACTCTGGTAAATAAAATTATCTCTCAACTTGAGTAATTAGAGAAATTAGAAACACAAATCCAAAAGTCATTAAACACACACACACCCACCCACCCATATATACATCCATATATCTATATATCCATATATATATATATACATACATATGGATTTTAGAAATTGAAAAGAGAGTCTAAAAGAACAATAAAACAAAAATCTGGATCTTTGAAAAAATAAAAAAAAACCTATCAAGATTTCCAAGAATATAAGGATGAAATCTCAAATATATAAAATCAAAAATAAAAAAGAAATCAATGGATGTTGCAGAAATTCAGTGGATAATTAGAGACTACTATGAAGAGCTATAGGCTAACAAATTCAAAAACCTGGCACGGATAGACAATTTTTAGAATTATACAATATCTGAGACTCAATAGGGAAGAAATAGAAATCCTGAACAAAGAAATTACAAGCAAAAAACTTGAAAGTATATCCAAACTCTCCCAAAAAACAAGAGTCCAGGACAACACAGTTCACAAGTGAATTCCACCACAATTTCAATAATGAATGAATGACTACCTTTTAAAATCTTCCAAAATATTTATGAAGAAGAAAACATTTCCAAATACATTTTGAGGTCAAAATCACTATAATACCAAAACTAAAGACATCATAAAAATGATAATCACACAGCAATCTCCATAATGAACATAGAACAAAAACCTGAATAAAATTCTAGCAAATACAACAATCCATTAAATGTATCATACATCATGATCTGCTGCAGGGGGCCTTGCTGCCCCAGCCAGGTAAGAGGCTGGCAAGCAGCTAAGAAAAGGGCTCACAACATAGGGCCAAAGCTCAAAGAGCCTCATACCGGGGGGCTGAAGATATAGGGTCTCACATCTTGGGGCCGAAGACTTTTAAAGAGCCGCACACCGTGGACCTGAAGATTCCTTGTGCCTCACAAGGGGCTGAAGATTAATCTATAAACTATAAGCATCCCTTTGTTTTTAGTTCTTGGTCATAAAAAAAGAAAAACCTCTCAAAAAATATATTGGGCAATAAAGTATATGTATTAGAATATTATAAGCACATGGCATGGATAAATACCTGCTTAAAAATTAAACACTGTAATTTGGCCTGCCTGACAATGGGAAAGGGTTTGTTATACATGAATATGCCTGACAAGCAATCCAGGACAATGATTATAGTAAGTCCTTCTTTTGCTTTTTTAGAAGTTTCTTAGGAAAGTTTTTAAATGAAGTTAACTGTGTTAAGAAGTTTCTAGGTAGAAAAAGTTCTGATAGCCATCATAATTAAAATAACCTGTACGGAAACAAAGTCAGGCACAGAGACAGATGGCATAGAATTGAGAACCAAGGAATAAACCTACATACTTGAAAGAAAATATAGAGGACCCTCTATGGGTCATTACCACAAAGGTGTATTTGGGAATACAAACCCAACAGCAAAGGAAACAAGACCAAAAATAAATAATGAGCCCATATCAAACTTCAAAGCTCTGGAACCTCAAAAGAAAGCATCAAAAAAAAAAAATCAAAAATACAACATACAGAATGTGAAAATTTATTTGCATACCATCTATCTGACAAAGAGTTAATCTCCAAAATTTACAAAGCACTCACACAATCCAACAAGAAAGAAATAAATGACTCATTTTTAAAATGTGCAAAAGAGGGCCTACCTGGTGGCACAAAGGGTTAGGCACCACATTATGAAGCAATCCACAGTCTCTGCAGCAAGTGTTCAATCCCCAGCTGGCCAGGGAACAACCCACATGGCGCAGTAGACCTCTCCTGACACCCTCTGCTCCCCTCAGCAGTATCCTTTGGTCAATCTGTCTGTTCTGCTCCCCACTCTCTCTCTGGTGAATCCTCTCACCCCCCGCATCTCTGGCCTGTACCCCAGCTCTCGTATGCATAAATAAATAAATCTTTAAAAAATATGCAAAGGACTTCAATAGGCACTGATCTTCAGCAAAGAGATTTACGTGGACTATAAACACATGAAATAATGTTCAACATCACTTATTATAAGAGCAGTACAAATGAAACCCCACAGAGGCAAGGTTGTGGTGAACAAGGAACTCTCATCTACTATTGATGGAATGAAATTTGTTAAATCCCTTATAGAAAATTGTATGGAAAGATCTCAGGAAAATAAAAATGGAAATTCAGATTTGACCGAATAATACTTCCATTAGGTATTTGTCCAAATAAATCTGATATGAAAAGTTCTGTCTAAACTTATGTACATAGTAGTACTCATTACAATTGTCATAACGTTGAACCACCCCAAGTGGCCAGTAACAAAATGAATGGATAGAGATAGTGTACCATATACTTAATGGGATCACACACAACTGTGAAGAAAGGTGAACTGGTGGCATTTGGGGAAAACATGGAAGAATCTTGAAGTGATTATGCTCAGTGAAATCAGTCAAAAAGTGAAAGATTTTGGATGGTCTAACTCATCTTTGGAATATAAATATGCAACAATTACACACAAACAATAAAGAAAAAAATAGCAAAAAAAAAAAAGATAATCATTATCAGAGGGAATGGGAAGTGGGACAGATGCAGGTATGGGCAAGGATGGCTTGGTGAAGGGAATTAAAAAGCGGCAAAAAAATATTTATCTAAACATATCCTGGGTACTTGTTTGGTTTCTTACCATCTAGAAGAACCCAAAAGAATTTAGGGTGTTTTCCTGTGTGCCTCAGGATGTACAGAAAAAGCAACACACAAGATATACTGGAAAAGACATTGGAGAAAGAACTATGAGAGGTGGAGGTGGCTCTTTGACACCCCTAGGAGGAAGAGAAAGGATACCACCAGAGGAAGATCCCCATTGCCTCCAAAGGGAAAAGTGCAGAAAGGCAGGAGAGGAGAAGAAATATTCCTTCAGAGGAAAGTTCCCCCTACCAACACCCCTCTAAAAAAGCAAAACATGTTCTCAGAATTTTTTTTTTTTTTTAAATAAAGTGAGGGAATTGTAAGGGCAGGACTGGACATAGTGCAGGTTTTCTAGGATCCAGCAGACCGGGTAAAGTTGGAGTCAGAGTCCTCAGTGGTTTTGCAGGTTTTTATTGGGACTACCAGGTACACGGCAGGCAGGAGTACTGGGGGGCTAAGGGGCTGGGAGGCTGGCAGGCCTCCCAGCCCCCAGCAGGTCTTCACTCTATGGGCCCTCCGGCCTTCTATCGGCTTCTGCTTCTCTTGCATCTCTCTCGGCTTCTGCTTTGGCTTCTCTTTTGGCTTCTGCTGGAGTCTCTGTGACGCGACCCTTAAAAAAGCACAGTCTTAGCCCAGGTGAACCCTATCTACATCTGCCCACACCCTATTCCAGGTGTCTGCCATCAGGCATACATTCAGGACTGCAAGGATCCATCATCTATCCTGTTGGCAGGAGGGCAGAAAAGCCTGACATTTTTCCTTGCCCTACAGAATACAGTCTCATTTATTTTCATTATACAGGCTGATTTTTTAAAATGTATTTATTTATGCACACAAGAACTGGGGTACAGGCCAGATGTATTTATGCATACAAGAACTGGGGTATACTCTGTCTCACCAGAGACAGAGTGGGGAACAGAACAGGCAGACTGACTGAAATACACTGCTGAGGGGGGCAGCAGGTGAGAAAGGAGAGGTCTGCTATGCCATGTGGGTCAGCTCCCTGGCTGGCTGGGGATTGAATTTGTGATGCATTGGCTTTGTATGCATTGGCTTTGTATGCATTGGCTTTTATTGTGATGCAGACAGCTTTATAGGTTGCATCATAACCCCTTGTGCCACCAGGGAGACCCAGGCCAATATATTTTCATCAACTTATTTCAAAGATTTGAAAGTGAAGGGTAAATAAGTTTGGCCCAACATTATAAGACTGTAGTGCTGGAAGGGATAGAGCAGGATCTATATGATTGGAGCAGATGGTAAAAGAGGAGTCCTGGAGTCCTCTGTGGCTTTTTCAGGCTTTTATTGGGATTTACCAGGTACAAGGCAAGCAGTGGTGACGGGGTGGCTGGAAAGCTGGTTGGCCTCCCAGGCCCTAGCAAGTCTTCTCTCTTTCTGGGCTCTCCAGAGTTCTCTTCCAGTTCTCTTCGCTTATTCTCCTTCTAGTCTCTTCCTATAAGCCAGTCTCAGCACAGGTGTACCAACCCATGCAGGCCCACACCTACTCCAGGTGTCCGCCATCAGGCATGCATTTAATCTAATGGAGGGAGGGCGGAAAATCCTGTAATCATTTGCCTTACCCTACAAACCCATGAGAGAATGATAATTACTTAATTGGGGGTTTTAATTAATTTTTAAGTATAATTTATCATTAATTTTGAAATTTCCTTAATTTATTACATTTTGTACTATTAAAATCAGAGAAGACAGTGACATTGTATGACACAACTTGTAATAGCTTACAATTTGTGATGATTTATAATATGTCCAAAAATTCACATTCTCCCTTTCAAAATATGAACACTCTTTTTAATGTATGTTAGATTTAGTGGCTGGTACTAATGAATAAAGTGTGGAAGAAGTGAAGCTATGTGACTTTTAAGTTTACCTCATAACATGTATAGCTTCAATGTATTGCTTCAATTTGTTCATTGATGGATGGCTGCTATGTCATAAGGATACTCAATTTATGGAAAGACCCATTTTTTAAAGAAATGATGACTCCCACCTGCCTACAACCATCACCAGTTTGTCTACTGTACTGATGAACTAGCTTCATAGAAAATCTTCTGGTCTCACACAGTCAAGCTTTCAGATGATTCTACTTTGCAATCTCATTTGAGCCAGAATGAGATTTGAAGCCAGAACTATTTAGGTAAGGTCTCTTCAGTTCCCAGTCCCCTGGAAATAGTTGAGATAGTACAGTTATACTCATGTTTAGTCAGTGACATGTGGTGACTATTTAAAAATTGGGGAAAAATACAATCCTTCACCTGCAGCATTTGCTGATTTCTATGGTATAAATTTTCTCATCATGACTGATCTTAAAGCTATGCACCAGTAAGACGTTACTGAACACAAGCTTTGAAAGATGTGCACAAGAGTAATCATATAGCATTGCTACCACACAGACCCGATAGTTATATATGGTCTTGAGAACAGAAAATAGTAAAAATTACCTAAAAATAAAAAGCCTTATTAAATGTTTTTTTAATAATGGTTAACAGGGATTCTTTGAAATCCTTGAAAATTTAGAAATATTTATCTCAAAATAGCCTCTTTAATATTATCCTATTTTCTGAGATTAGGTAGTTGCAGATTACATTTCTTGAGCTAATTGTCACATTCTACAGTTTGTGATGTATAATCCAATAAATACATTATTACTATGGTATACATGGGCACCAGTATTTTTGATGAGCTAATTCATATTGTAGTTTACAATTAATATTAAATATGTTACTGAAGCACTTAAGTTTGGATTTATTAAATAATATTTAGAATACATATTTGATTTTGAATATAAACTCCATAATGGCAGGAACAGGGCACTGAACAGGTTTTCTGATCCAGCAGATCCGGTAAAGGAGTCAGAGTCCTCAGTGGCTTTTGCAGGTCTTTTATTTAGATTTACCAGGCATATGACAGACAGGGGTGCTGGGGTCAGGGAGGCTGGCAGTCCTCCCAGGCCCCAGCAAATCCTCACTCTGTCTGGGTTCTCTGGTGTTCTCTCTGCTTCTCTTCTTCTCTCAGCTTCCATTCGTTCTTGGCTTCTGCTGGTGTCCCCGTGATGCCACCCTTATAAACTCAGTCTCTCAGCCCAGGTGTATCCACTTCAGGTGCCCGCCATCAGGCATGCATTCAGGAGCACAGGGTTCCCTCATCTATCCTAATGGCAGGAGGGCAGAAAAGCCTGATACTTTTACCTTACCCTACAAACTCGATGAATACATTTTTAGAAATCATTAACATAATTTTTTTTTTATGTTTTCATTTATTTTTTTATTGAGGTAACATTGGTTCACAACTGTAGGGTCAGGACTGGACACAGAGCAGGTTTTCTGATCCCATGCAGACCGGGTAAAGGAGGTGTCAGAGTCCTCAGTGGTTTTTGCAGGCTTTTATTGGGATTTACCTGGTACACAGCAGGCAGGGGTGCTGGGAGGGCCGGGAGGCTGGCAGGCCTCCCAGCCCCCAGCAAGTCTTCACTCTATGTGGGCTCTCCGGCCTTCTCTGCTTCTCTCCCAGCTTCTGTTCATTCTCGGCTTCTTGGCTTCTGCTGGTGTCCCTGTGACGTCAATCTTAAAAGCCCAGTCTTAGCCCAGGTGAATCCCATCTACCTATGCCCACACCCTATTCCAGGTGCCCACCATCAGGCATGCATTCAGGACCGCAAGGATCCATCATCTGTCCTGATGGCGGGAGGGCAAAAAAGCCTGACATTTTCTTCACCCTACAACAACATGGTATAATTTAAGGGAATAGGTTCACATATCCTTAGACGTATCTCACCACCAAAGCATCCATAACCTTTACCATAAAACAATGCCTTCCTTTGTCATTTTGCTCCTATACCAAACCTCTATGTTAATTCCATCTTTAGTTAATTTGCTTATCTTGTGAGAAAATACGTGTAGTTCTATGTTTATGTCTGTGGCTGCCCAGTTTTCCCACCACAATTTGTTGGACAGAAATTCAGTTCTAGGTTTTATACTTTTGACTTGTTAGTCAAAGCAACAAACTCCGTAGTTTGTTTCTAGGCTCTCAATTTTATTCAATTTGCCTATATTCCAATGCCATACTGTTTTGATTACTTTGGTCTTATAGTATAGTTTGAAGTCTGGGAATATAATGCTTCCATTTTTATCTCTTTTGTCAAGTTTGGGTTTGGTCGGCCTCCCTGGTTGTTCATGTGTTTAAGTCTCAGCACTATCAAGCTATTGGCAGCCACTGCAGCATGAGTTTGATCCCCAGCCAGAGAGCTAACACATGGAGTAGCAGACCTCTCCTGTAACACCTGCTGCTTCCCTCAGCTATGTATTTCAGTAGATCTGCCTATTGTGCCTCCCACTCTGTCTCTGGTGAATCCTCTCACCCCACACACCGTTGGGCTACACCCCAGTTCTTGCATGCATAAATAAGTAAAAATAAATCTTTATATTTAAAAAAAAATTGAATTTGGCTATTTCTGATCTTTTTGCAGTTCCTTATAAATTTCAGTGGTTTGCTCTATTTTGAACAATTCAATTGATGCTTTGATATGCATTTCATTGAATCTAGATACAATCTACATTGTATCTTTATTTGACTTAGATGAACAATCTAACAATGTTCAATTCTCTAATCTGTGATCATAAAATATTTTTCCATTTCCTTGACACTTCTATTTCTTTGGGAAATGTCTTATAGGGTTTTTTTTTTTAATTGGCATTTTGCTTAATTTGAAAGGTTTATTCCAAGGTATTTAATAATTTTGATGTTATTTTATCATTTTGTTGACTTTTTCTATTCTAGCTTATTTGCATATAAAATAAAACATACTTTTGTACACTGATTTTGTATTCTGCCAATCTACAGTACTGATTTATTGCTTTTTTCATTGGTGTCTTTAAGAGTTTCTATATATCTTACAATATTTGCAAATAGTGATAGCTTACTTTTCGGGTTTGATTACTTTTAAATATATTTCTTTCCTAATTGTCCTAGCTAGTGAGTGATATAGTATATTGAACAATAATGGAGAGAGTGGAAATCCTTATTCACCTGATCTTAGAGGGAAATTTTCACACTCACACCATAGAGTATGATGCTAGCAGTTAATTTGGCATATACTGCCTTTATTTTATTTTTTAAAAAGATTTATTTATTTGTTTATACAAGAACCAGGGTACAGGCCATATTCACGGGAAGGTGAGAGGATTCACCAGAGACAGAGCAGGGAACAGAACAGGCAGACTGACTGAGATACACTGCTGAGGGGAGCAAAGGGCTAGGCAGGAGAAGTCTGCCTTGCCATGTGGGACCCTCACCTGCTGGCAGGGATCAAACCAGCACTGCAGAGGCTGCCGACAGCTTCACAGCAAGGCATTCAACTGCCTGCGCCACCAGGGGAGGCCCTACTGCCTTTATTATGTTGAGATACATTCCTTATATCCTCATTTTACTAAAAGATTTTTATAATAACTTTATGCTAAATCTTACAAAATATCTTTTCTACATCTGTTCATATAATCATATATTTGTCTTTCCTTTTTTTTAATATGATGAGTTACCTTGATTTGCATGTGTAGAATCATACTTGGAGCACTGAAATTACTGTCACTTGGTCATAATGTATAATAATTTTAATGTATTGCTTAATTTGGCTTGTAGCCATTTTGTTGAGATTATTTACATTCATTTTCATCAGATATCAATCTGCAGTTTTCTTTCTCTTTGTGTGTGCATGTGTGTGTCTGTGCTTGTGTGTGTGCATGTAATGTTCTTGTTGTCTTTGGTATCATAGTAATATTGACCTCATAAAATATGTTTGGGAGCATTCCTATTTCGTTTATTTTCAGGCATGATATAAATATAGGATATTGTGGACAAGGGTCAGAAAGTAAGCCATCATTTACAGATTCAGTACCCGAGAAATAATTTTTTAAGTAATCTATAATGAGTGCATCACAGTACTGTCACCAACCAGGGGGAGGAAATAGAGAGCGCACTTCTTAAAAACACTTGCCATTTTCTTTGCTTTGATTTATTTCAGAGACAACTAAACCATCTCAAACTGCCTTTCAGAACTATTTTTTTAATCAAAAATATTGGCCACTTTCTTCTTCATATCCCACCAATGCCACTTACATACCTATTATCCTTCTCTATCCCCTCCCTTCTTAACATCAGAAATCTAACTTCATGTATTAGACTTTGCTAGTTTTAAAAAAGTATTTTGTTTTTATCAAATCATTTGCTATATAAAAAACAATACTTGTCCTTGTCATTCTGACTCACTTTATTAAACACATTATCCTCAAAATCCTTTCATTTCACCATAAATGGTAAAATTTTCTCTTCCCTGTTGATGAATAGTGTTACATTGTGTGGTTGTACCATATTTTCTTGATCAAATTCTATTATCAGTGGACACTTGGATTGTTTCCATGTCATAGCTATGTGTAACCAACATTGTAACAAACATTGTAAAGTGCCTACATTTTTTAATTTGTTTTTTATATCCTTCAGACAGATGGAAAAATTTGGTTCATGTAGTATTTCCATTTTTCAGGTTTTTTTAACTATAAATCCTGATCACTTTTAAAAAATGACTACACTAGTTTATATTCCCACCTACAATGAATCAGGATTCCTCTTTCTCTGCATCCTATACAAAATTTGTTGGGAGTCTTTTTAAAATGTGACTTTCTCATTGCTGTTAGTTGATATCTTGTGGTTTTTCTCTTTGTCCTTATTAAAATAATGATAAACATGTACCTATATATCCTTTGGGGAGCTGCCTATTTATACCTGCTTCCTATTTACCAGTTGGGTTGGTTAATATTTGTTTGTTAAATTGAATAATTTATTTGTATATCTTGGATATTACCCCTCCCCCCCTTTACTGTGTTGGTTACTTAATTTTTAGTCATTACAATGAATAATTTATTGGTTTATTTTGAATATTATCCCCCTTATTGTCTGTGTTGATGTAAATATTTTCTTCCATGCAGTGGGATGTGCTTTTAACATATATTTTCTTTTAGAGCTTTAAAACATTATAATTTGAGGTGGCACTAATTGTCTATTTTGCTATTATTTTCCTAGCTATAGGGGTCAACACTACAATAATGTTTTCATTACTGATGTCATGAGACTTATTTCCAATGTTTT